ACATATACCAAGGACGAAATATGATATTTCTTATAGGTTGGCAATGGTTGCCATGGTTTTAATACCACGAAGGGAATTTAAATTTACTCTCTTAGTGTTTTAATCTTATCCTGTCTTTATAAAAGGCATATTTCTATATAACTGATGATCAATTTTTAAAGGCCTTGGTATGTCCCTAATTTTCACATTTCAAAAAACTCAAATTCTGTTCTTTAGATAGAGAGTTGCCATGAAAATTAGCCGAAAATATATGCATAAAAATCTGAAAAATATTCTGTTTCCTTGGATACGTACCCTTGTATGTAGATTCCCAAAACTTTTATGATTTATATTTATGAACAACCAACCTGACTTTCAATTTTGACTACCAACCAATCTCTAACTGGATGCAAAAAGCTGACACATAGGGTCTAATGTTGATATAAAATTAACTAATAGAACATTTTCCCTTCTTGGTAACCATAACAACAGTGTTGTATTTTTCAACAAACTTTATCAATATATGATATTCAACTTTAGTTCTACAAGATAAGTACTATTCAAGGTGAGTCAAATAAAATGTTTCTTGATTAAAAGGTAAATAAATTCCTAAGACAGCAAATAAATATCACTGGTACGTTGTTTCCATGGATACACTTGCAAAGTGACAGTTAATCCAATTTTTTTCTTATGTTGTCGGTGTTGCAAGGTCCTAAGGATGTATATGTGCAAGTCATGAATTTTATTGTTTTTCCTCAAGAAAGTAGCATTAACCCAATCTTAGCAACAGATTTTGGATCGTTACACTGTGTTACCATGGTAACCATGAAAGTTATTTTTAGAATAATATTGCCAATACCTAATTACTTAAGGTAAAATATTTTTATTGTTTTTCTTAGGTTGTTGATTGAGTTCATGTAATATTGAGCATTTTTTGGCATTTTTCAGCATCTAAAATGTATTCCAAATGTACCCATGGTTACCACTTACTTAGAGATAAATTCTAAATAGTTTCTTTATAGCGTAAGTGGCAACAAGGTGTCATCTTTTTGTGAGAATGGTTTGTTTGTTTTTCTTAGTTTTTATTAATGCTTAACAAAGATTCAAAGTAGCTGAAAATCTCAATTTTCCAACTTTTCTGGCTGTTACCATGGCAACCAAGAGACATAGCAACGAAATTTTATTTGATATATGTTTCTGGTGTCAAGTTGTAATAATGGGCAAAGTTTCATCAAAATTGGTGACTATGCGTGGCAAAGATGTTTAAGTGCTTACAGAAAGGAAAGTCTTTAAGAAAGGAGTGACGGAAAAATACATTGTAACATCACAAAAACAAAAGCAGCTCCCAGACGACAGGCACTTGATTCGGTAATACATTTTTTAACCCATAGTAAAATAACACAAGGCATCTGAATTACACAGAGTACTCTCTCCCCAGAAATCGCACTCATTTACACTTTCGAAGGAAATGCACTGGCAAATTGTTTATTACCACTGTTTAAAAAATTATTACCGAAGCAAGGGCCTGTTCCCCCGGCATATACAGTGCAGGCAAAAATGGCTCTGTTAATGCCCAGGTTTTCTCTAGAAATATATTGAATTAAATAAAAATTCAACATAAGTATTTGCTGTAAATGATCTTCTTGCCAAAAAATTCATCATTAATCGCATGATATCTAAATTCAAAGTACTTTGATATTTAAGTACACTATTTAACCTAGCCATTTTTACCCAGCCTTCTAGCAATATTCTGACTTAAACAAAGCTACCTTTTCATGACCTCAATTTCCTTGGAGATGATGTCCAGTTATTTGATGGCTGAAGAATCCGCCACATGTCCACAGGGTCCGGCATTCACTCCATCCTATAAAAATCACCATTTAAATAATTACTTATTGCAGATGAACATTAGGGTTATTTTTTCACCTCATAATAAAAATCATTTTACAAAGTGATATATTCTGTGAATTAAACTTCACAGATTTGTGTAGAGTTAATAATGCAAGTTATAATGTTTGACATGCAAAAATATTTTACATTTTAGCCCTTAAATAAATTATTTAATTGTAAAACCTTCAGAATCTGATAAATCCAATTTAAGAAACCTATACCAATGCACCTTAACACCAAACTGTCTGGTGTCAGCATTCCCATTGGGTCGCATGGAGGGGGGTATCATCTGTAGGGTAAGGGTCGCTGAAGGATCTATCCCCTTAAGTTTCTGTTGTACGAGGTACATGACAGGATGAACTGTTCCATGTTTATCTTCCCCTCACTGATTGTGTCAAAGAGATTAATAGAATAAGAGAGGCTTTACTTTAACTGTATTTAGAATATATCCAATTCTCCAATAAATGCTTACTTCAATTGATACTGATTACAAATTTTTGCACTCTTCAAGGTCACATGAACAATGTGCAGTGAGTTTTTAAAAATTCTGCTGTCTGTGCATTAGCTAACTCCCTAAACAGAGTCAAAACTCTGCGAGCAGACTGGAAAATTCGTCTCACACCATGCGTATGAAATGTATGGAGATAACGAACAGTATTCAAGCTCAAAAGTTAATTAAACAATACAAATTTTGGAGCAGAGCATACACGGACCTCATAAACATCAGAGGTGGGATCCGGTGCCATGGAGGAGTGAGCATCCCCTGCTGACCACATATAAGTCGTAAATTTAAAGCTTGACACAGAGGCTTGCATGATCTACTCAGTATTTGTCTTCCATTTTTTATTTAAAAAATATATAAATATGGTTATAGTTTATGCTGGGGGGGGGGAATATTCAGGAAGGGCAAGTGAAGTTTGACTGTGCACTTGCCCCTGGACAAGTACCTAAGAAATCTATTTGTCAGCCCCTGAATCATCACAGAAGAGTTCCTGTGTAGGAAGTTTACAGTAGGCTATCTGAGTAGTATGTTGAAAGAGGCCTAAATAATTAATCTTAACTATGTTCAAGATCTGTATTTAACAACTGTCGTGTGCTCTTGGCAATCAAGGAATATAAAAAATCGATATTTTATACAAATATTAAACACAGAACGATATTTATTTATTGATCTTACAGGCTACACAGATTAAGAGTTACTTTATTCAAAAACCAAAGGTACAATAGGGGTTTTCCAGTTCTAATTATCGCTATGTCTATCTAAGCCACCTAAACTGCGGAAAACTGTATCATTTAGGAAACTTAAAAATATTGCGATTGATAAATTTGGAGATGTTTTAACTACTTTATCGAAGTATCATTTTGATTTATCCCCCCGATGAACTCGTACAACGATCAGACTCGGATATGAGGGTTTTAATTAAGCAACATGCTCTACTACAAACAAAAACCATTGTTAGTGACACCAAATACAGAGTGGTTCTCTGAAGAACTTCGCGATTTTAAAAGAGAAAAACACAGAGCTCAACGCGTATGGCGACGCACTAACTTGACTGTTCATCATGATATTTTTCGAAAAAAATGTATCGAACACTCGTAATTGTTGTATCAAAGCAAGCAGTCGTATTATTCGAACAAAATCATTGAATGGGGGTCGGATAGTAAGAGTTTATATTCCATTACAAATGAAGTCATGGGTAATACGAATGACACGCCGCTCCCGGAATGTATTAATGACGATATCCTATCAAATAAATTCGACAAATATTTTGTGTCTAAGATTCACAACATCAGATCATCTCTGTTGTCATCAAATTCCGTAGATGATCATCATGCCGGTGCATTGTCTTCAGATGTGCCGTTTACAGGGCTGTCGTTGAATCCATTCGATCCCACGTCTGGTGATGAGATCAGAAAAACTGCAGTTCAATAGTTCGAACATGCTTCGATAAAATCCGGAAAATCGGACTCATCCATTCGGACATCACGACATCATAGACGACAAATTTAAAACATTGATTAATGCTCTTTTATTCAAAACATAAAATAAAGGATGTTTCAACATTCAATCTCGTATTTGGTGAAAGCTTGATTAGTGACTCTCCTTTCGTAAAGAACCTTGGAGCTTTTTTCGACCGGACTCTAAGTATGGAGAAAAACTGCAGTTCAAAAGTTAAAAAAAAAAGCTTCAATAACATCCCGAAAATTGATTGCATCCGTTCGGACATCACATACGACGAATGTTAAACGTTAAACATTGATTAATTTATTTGTGACTTCCCGACTCGATTATGCAAACTCTTTGATGTACAGAATAAATAAACAACATGTGAATGATCTCAGAATATACTCGCCTCCCAGTTCTTTACGTTCACAAAATTCATTTCTTATAGATGTTCCTAAGGTTATAACTGTTACCTACGGCAGGCACCGATTTAACTACGCTGTCGCCTCACTTTGGAACTCTCTACCTTTATGTCTTAAACATTGCAAATCAACTCACCTCTTTGAACTAGTTTATGACAGAATGTAAATATTGTATCTTTACTGATTTACTTAGAATGTACAAAACACTGAACTGGTTATAAGGTCATTTAGGAATTCTTGTGTTTTACTCATAAGTACAGGTTCTTATTTTTATTTAATTTTTTTTTTAATTTTAAAAATTTCAATAGTTGTAATTATATATAAGTGACTTCTGCGCAATGTACATTACACTATAAACATTTTATGGTCTTTTAGTATATAAGGTCTTTTAGTTATCCTGTATCTTTAATGTACAGTACACTATAAATATTTCATGGTCTTTTAGTATATACGGTCTTTTAGTTATCCTTTATCTTTAACGCTCGCACATATGTACCTTTTTTAAGTTGTTTGTTTTCCATTTTGTATGCTTATGCGTATTTTAATATTAAGTGCACTAGAGTGTCTATATTATAATGCGCTATAGAAATTATTTTATTGTATCTGTGAGGTGTCTGGCCGTAAAAATGATGACACTAATAATTTTGGTCTAGATACATTACATTCCTTGATATAACTTGTACTCATTAATATTGAAACTTCAAATGTATTTCTTACACTTATATTTTGACACATTTATATTAATCATTCTTTTGTACAGGAACATGGGTATACAGCGTGTGTCAGAGTCTGTGTTTGTGGAACTGCTTTACATAGTGGGGACCTCACAGGAGGTGATTATGAGGAGAGAGATAGTGGACATCAGGGACACGATGTTAAATCAAGTGAAACTGACAATAGAAGACAGGGCGATGACTAGTGGGAGTAGAAGAGAAGGATTTAGGCTAAAAGGATCAGATGTAGACTATATGTTCTGGCCAACTGACCACACGGTAATATGGAATTTAAATCAGGTACAGAATTACGACTTAAATAGAAAAACATTGATTCTCTGTGATTGTTCTGAAAGCCCTCCAGGATTTGCCTTACTTCAATTACTGACATCAACACAAAAGGAAAGTGTAAAGTATGCATGTATAAGAATAAACAGCAGACTCTATATATCCAGTTCCAAATACAGAAAGATCACACGTTCAGCGCTTTTTCCTAATTCTAAGGAACATGGCCCTTGTGGTAGTGGTGTTGTAGTGGGAGGAGATTATGACCATGCCGAGTGTTTTGTCTGTGATTTTTGGCCCCCTCCTGCCTCCAAATGGATAGACAGATGCCACTCATGGCCCCATTCTTATATTGTTGATGACATAGTTAGAAATGGATGCCACTTTGTAGCAATTGGACACAAACTAGGAAAACACGCAGACAAAGAATGGAGAATTTCCTTCTCTTTAGCAGAACAAAAACTTGTATACTCAATGAATCATTGCCAATTCTTAACCTATGGGTTGCTTAAATTGTTCTTAAAAGAGTCTATTAATGATGGATTAAGTGATGAGGATAAATCACTCTGTTCATATCACATGAAGACAGCAGTTTTCTGGGTGATTCAACAAAACATATTGCCTCAATGGCATCCACAAAATATCCTTGAGTGTTTCTGGATTTGTTTTAAAATTATCCTTAAATGGGTATATGAGGGGGTATGTCCAAACTTTTTTATTCCAGAAAACAACATGTTTCTGAGTAGTATCCATGGTGAAGCACAAAAAAATTTATTTATTAGGCTTCATGAATTGTATGAGAAGGGTATAGTATCACTGCTTCATATTCCATCTATCGAGTCTAAGATTACAAGTGTCCTTCAAAATCCAAGACAATCTGTTGGTACAGATGAACACATTCTGATCTCCAAGGTTTCATTTGCAATAGATCTATTTAATGAGTTGCATCATATTATTCTACCAACACCAGTCCTACATAAATGTATTAGGTTCTTCAATGCTGTAGAAAAGTTGATAATTTTACCCCTGACTCAGAACCAAGTTCTCTTGTTACAGAGGCTAACAGCCTCTATACTCCAAAAGACTGCTTTTATGTTATACAAGCTTTTAACTGTTTTTGCACCACTCAAGATAAATTCTAGCTCAGTTATAAACAAGCAGGTGTATATGACTAATAAAACATCCAGTAATATGCTGAAATTAGCAGCCAAGTTTGGGTGTATCTCAGACATGTTATATATTGCAATGTTTTACTACAAGACTCTTAGATATAAAGAAGCTTTATTAGCTATAGAGATGACAAAGGTCAAGTTAGCAAAGCCAAACGTAATGTATGTCAGCCATTTATCTAATGATGCATTATGGAACATGATAATAGAGTCAATGGGGGAACAGTACTGGTCTACAAAGATGAGACATGCTGTGGCATGGGATTTTTTTCTTGAAAATGGAATCTGTTACATCAATGAATTAATGCCAGAACAAAAGTCCGGGATACAGTGCGGGTTCTATGTAATACAAATCCCACTCTATGTTTTCTTACACATGTTAGAGATCTTGTGTTACAGACATGTAGACCCAATAAGAGCACAAACAACTCTAGATATCCTACAGTTCCTAGTCCACCATGATCAGGGGATGTATATAGAGATACACAAAAGAGACATATCCTGGCAGATTCTAGGGATCTGTCAACAGGTTACAGGGAACCATCAAGCTGCTCTGTATTCCTACCAACAAGCTCTCAGACATACATCACACAACATACAAACTGCTGCATTGATGAGAATACAAGAAATCATGGGACTCATGCACAGAAATCATTAATAATATATCACGATTGTTTCCTGTCAGAGTTCAGCAATTCAGAACTTTTCTTCGAGAGAAGTAAGAAATCCTCCCTCACTTTCTACCTTAGAATTTCTTTAATTTTAAAAAAAAACTTTTAGTATGATAATAAAATGTGGTATTGTTTATTATCAAAAGGAATGGGGAAATTTTTCGGTTTCTATGACAATCTTCAATGTACATATGTGATAAAGAAATCCATATCATGTATTTTGTATATTAAGTTTGTTATTTAAGAAATAAAGTCCACGTTATCGTGAATGTTGCAGGATAACCTCCGAGGTCGAGAAATGTTGTCTGAAATATAAAAGCCGAGGCGTTAGCCGAGGCTTTTATATTTCAGACAACATTTCGAGACCGAGGAGGTTATCCTGCATCATTCACGACAACAAGGACTTTATTTCTATTCTACTAACGGCTCTAAAATACAGTTGATCGTTTTCTCTAACGAGAAACGAATTAGGTCACCATGTCGCAATTCCGCTGTTCCATTTAACACCAGAGGGTCAATCGATTGCATAAAATGCAGACGATTTTAACTTTTGTTGGATTAAAAATATCCTTTAATTATTTATAAATTTGCTTGTAACATAGATTGATTAATTTTTATGAATGAAAAATAACAAAATCAGTTGTCTTTTTCATTGATTTATCAGTAAAATCACGGGAGTGTAAATGTTGTGGGGAGGTCCGTACAACAGCCCCATTTGGCTATAAAAATGGATATTTATCAGCTGATTCAGGCAATACACACGTTTAGACTGCGGAAGACGACACATCGATGTGGTCTAAATAAGTATTAGATTATACAGTGAAATATTTATTTCAACTGTACAGATTTGACATGTGTTTCTGATCTGATAATTTTTTGATGACGTTCGTGATTTATTGGAGAATAATGTCCGCGGCATTTCTTTGATCTCGGCAATAACCGTAGTAGAATTGTAAATAAAGTTTGTGAAGCAATGATTTATATCAGTAAATTCAGGTATATTTTGGCTTTCATTTCCTTTTATCACAAACATTATAGAAATTGAAAAAAAAAACAACAACAGATCATTCTATCGTGTTTCATACACATTTTTTGGGTACTTGTCCAGGGGCATTTTTACCCCTGTATCCCGTGGATATCTCTCATTGGATATTTTTTTCATATCCCACTGTTGTGACGTCACAATGGTTTGTAAAGTGAAGGTAATAAATGTGGATTCATAAATAACAAGAGGCCAAAAGGCCACATCGCTCACCTGAGCACTTTAGCTTGAAAAAGCAGAAAAAGCAGTTTCAGTTTTGAAAAGTTTAAAGATGTAAGTGGTACCAAACGACTCCCTTGGGGCATGACTTGTACAAACTTGAATCAACACCACCTGATGATGCTTCCATTCTTTGATTAATCATGGCTTCAGAAGATTTAAAAAGACTTTTTACTACAAGTTTAATTTTCTATCGTGGCCTGCCATAACCCAGAGAGTCATGATTTTAACAAACTTAAATCTAGACTACCTGAGGATGCTTCTGAATTAATATAACTTATTATGGCTTTGCTGTTCTTAAGAAGAAGATCCTGAGGTCATGATTTGAACAAATTTGAATCTACACTACCTGAGAATGCTTTTTAATAAATATGACCAATCATGGCGTTGCTGTTTTTGAGAAGATGATTTTTTAAAAGATTTTTTCCTATGTATTCCTATGGTAAAACTTTATCACCCATGTGGCCCAACCCTATCTCCGGGGGTCAAAATTTGAACAAATTTGAATCTACACTACCTACATAAGTTTTATCTTTCCTGGCCCAGTGATTCTTGAGAAGATTTTTAAAAGATACCATTAATTTTTTTCTAATTCTAAATTGTCTCCCCTTAGAAGAAGGTGTGGCCCTTAATTTCAATAAACTTGAATCCTCTTAACCCTCAAATACTCGATGCCAAGTTTGATTGAAATTGGCCCAGTGGTTCTGGAGAAGAAGATGAAATTGTAAAAATGTTAAGGACGCTGACACCGACGATAAACAACGGATAAATCGTGATCTGAAGAGATCACTTGAGCCTTCGGCTTAAAACATTCAGTTTAAAAAATTGACAGATTTGCACAAAACGCAATAAAAGAATCTCTCATGATTTGTGGTTAGATATAATTTTTATCCATCTCGTTGTGTGTTTTTTATCCCCTCGCCAAGGTTCAGGGTTAAACATGCTCACTTACGTAAAGGGTTGGGGGGTAAGAAATGCTTACCTATATGAAATATGCTCACTAGCACCTGATACATGAGGCTGAGGCTAAGGAATGATTGCCTCAATGAGCATGAAACATGCTTACTAGCACCTGATACATGCAGGTCGGAGGGTAAGGAATGCTGTGTTCACTAGCACCTGTGTACGGGGCAGAGTTATTCTACCCGAGTAGAGCTATGCTTGCAATAATTGATAATTATCATAACAGGAGTACTGTAAAAGGATGCTGAATGATAAATAGAGAAATCTACGTAGCCTTTTCCATATCAAATCCTGTATTAGCCTGAGACACAAATATCATGGCCATATGATAGCAGAGGAATTATAAATAATTAGGGACCATAAAGTATGAAGTTACATAAAATTAAATTTTAACTTAATATAACATTTCATTTCATTAGAAGTAAATTGAGCAATTATCATGTAAAATTCTAGTTGTAAACAAAGAAAAATTAAATGTACTTTAATTAAGAACATTTCACAACCCCTGCAATTTCTTTTTATGCCCCCATTCCCTTTGAAAAAGCGGGCATATTGCTTTGCACCTGTTGATCGGTCGACAGAGTTGTCCTCTTTGAGGTCTCAATGGTCAAGGATCAAACTGAACATAGGAATATATTGACAGCTCAATATCTTAAGAATCCTTTTCTTTTCAGACATTAAACTTGGCATACTGGTTCCCATTGAAGAATAGATGACCACAGTAGATTCTCAGGTCACAAGGTCAAATATCAAGGGTCAAACTGGATACAGGAAGATATTTACCACTTAATAGCTTGAGACCTCATTGCTTGAAACACTTATTCTTCCTGATGAGTAGAAGACAATTGTACATTTTAAGGTCACAACGTCAAAGTTAAGATCAAACTTCTCAAGTCAAAGAAAGATATTGTTTATTCAATATCATGAGAACCTCTTGCTTGTGAGGCATAAAATCATGACAACTGAGGTTACAAGGTTATATAAATATTTAAAGGTGCTTAGACACAGATTTGAACTTAATATTTTCACAAATTTTTTGTGTAATATCACGACTTGTATATTCCAATAGCATTTCACACGAAAATATAAATATAAATTGGGTTTTGCTTTCGAACATTTATACTTTGAATTTTCAGGGTAATAGTTTTAATATTTTTCATTAATACACAACAAAATTGCCACTTTTCTTAAGTATTAAGAATAAAATTAAAGTATGTGAAAGCGCAAGTGTTTCACTTCCGGGTAGTGTATATTATAAACAGACAGCAGTGTTAACAGGTTTAACACCGTACAACGTGCAGCTTTGGTGCACACTCATAAAACACAACTGCACATGAGTTAACACTACAACGAACTGATTTATTTTTGAAACTCTAATCTTACAAAACGAAAGTAAATTAATATTTAAGAATGAAATTAATAAAGTTTACAAACGCAAAGTGTGTTACATCTTTCTTCCTTTAAAAAGTCTCTGTAATACACAAGATAGATTATAAATTGAGGTGAAATCTGTTACAGTTGAAATGCACGAGACAAAAACATGCAATTAACAACATAGGCAAATTAATATCACTAGAAACATAATATTGAGCTTCTTGCTCAAGGGTGAGTAAGTCAAGGGATTATTGTGCCCTTTTAACACGGCTTACTCATGACTAGCAAAACGAATCTAAACTGAAGTCTAATTCACATAGTCCTTGAATCGAGATGGTTCCTTAACGACTCGACCTGATCGTGTGGTAAGTGGAGGTGCAGAATCACTCTGAGATGCACTGGTTGGTTTTGAGGGTGGATTCACAGAAGTTTGTCCAGTTAATGTGTCCTTGATAGGTTGTTCCTGGACTGGTTTTTCATCAATGTCCTCATATATGTGAGCATCAGTGTCAGCATGTTGACTTGGACGAAGGTCACGACGATTTCTATGGTATGTCTGTCCATTAGATTCAATTTCATACGATCTGTTTCCTAGTGAATACTTCACAGTTCCTTTTTTCCATTCTTTGTCAGGCTGTCCTAATGTTTCCGGTGGTGCCATACGCACCTTTTCCCCGATATCCAGTGGTCGAAGATCTCTAGCTCCACGATTATAGTACAAAGCTTGTCTTCGCTTTAGATGGGTTAATTGCTTCTCCTGCGATTTCAGTGGATAAACTTCCGGAACTAGGAGGGTCTCTTTGGTAGGCAAAAGTGTCTTTGTGCGTCGACTCATCAAATGCTGAGCTGGGCTGGTATCCATTCCCTGAGTAGGTGTGTTACGAAAATCTAGCAGAGATAGATAAGGATCAGACTGAGATTTCAAGGCTCGTTTCAGCAATCTTTTGGCCATTTTGACAGCTTACTCAGCTTTTCCATTACTTTGGGGGTACTTCGGTGAACTAGTCACATGACAGAATTCCCATTCCTTGGCAAACTGCTGGAACTCAGTAGAGGCAAACTGGGGCCCATTGTCAGATACAAGGGTATCTGGAATCCCGTAGTGTGCAAACAATGCCTTCAGTTTCTGAATTACAGTCTTCGACTTTGTATTGCGGAGAAAGTCAATCTCCCAAAAGTTTGAGAAATAATCAACGGTCACAAGGTACTCCTTCGAATTGTAGCTAAAAAGGTCACTATTTTGGCCCATGGACGTGTGGGTACATCATGATTTACGAGGGTCTCTTTCCTCTGTTTGTCATCAAAAGAACGACAGGTATCACACTTAGTCACAAAGTCTTTCACATCTTTGGTCATACCGAGCCAGAACAAATTTTCACGAGCTCTCCTGAGACTTCCTTCAACTCCAATATGAGATGAGTGAATACGGTGCAACATGTCCGTTCTCATTGTCTCTGGAATTAGAATGCGCTCTCCTTTAAATACAATGCCGTCTTGTACTGTCAACTCATCACGAATGTTGAAGTATGGCTGTCGGGGAGCTGAAACACACGCAGAGATTTCTGGCAATCCTGAGAGAATAAATTTGGTCAGCTTTACTAGTGTTTTGTCTGCCTGAGTTTCCTGTCTCAGTTCCTGAAGTCTATCTTTGATCACAGGGAGAAATCGTGCCAGATGTATTGTTTCCTCTTCAAGTGTGCCAGTCTGGTCACTGTTTCTTAGGTATGCCCTGCTCAAAGTGTCTGCTAGGAACATTTCTTTCCCAGGATGATATGCCAAGTGTATAGTGTACTTTTGCAAGCGCAGTAGCATTCTCTGTAGTCGTTTAGGTGCAATGTGAAGTGGTTTTTTAAGGATAATCTCCAAGGGTTTGTGGTCATTCTGAACAGTCACATCACGTCCATATGTGTATTGGTGGAACTTTTCAAGTCCAAATACCACTGCCAATAATTCTTTTTCGATCTGTGCATACCTAGTCTCTGTTTCAGTCAATGCACGACTTGCGAAAGCAACAGGCTTTCCTTCCTGTAAGATTGTGGCTCCAGTTTCCGAGGCATCACACTGAAGGGTTAGGCTTTTGTTAGGATCAAAGTAACTAAGCACTGGTTCAGAAATGACTAGCTGTTTTATGTCAGACACAGCTTTGTCATGGACCTCATGCCAGCTCCATACAGAGTCTTTGAGCGTAAGTTTCCTTTGTGACTCACACAAATCACTTAGGGATGGCAAGAATTTGCTAAGATAGTTCACAAATCCAAGAAATCTCCTTACACCTGCGACATCCTCTGGATTTGGCATCTCTTTAACTGCTTTCACCTTTTCTGGGTCAGGTTTCAGACCTTCTGATGTAACAAGGTGTCCAATGAATCGCACTTCTTTTTGTCATAATCGAAGTTTGTCTTTGTTCAGAACGAGTCCACCTTCTCGACATCGGTCCATCAGTGCACGTAGCTTTCTGTCATGGTCAACAATAGCTTCTTCTTCTGTATCCCCCTCGCCATACACAAGAATGTCATCTGCTATACTATGTATACCCGACAATCCCTCAACAGCTTGGTCTTGTCTCCTTTGGTATTCTTCGTGGGCTGTAGACAGGCCAAACGGCTTTCTCAGCCAGCGATAGCGTACGAAGGGCGTATTGAATGCAGTCTGAATGAACTTTCATGATCCATCTGGACGTGCCAGAACCCATTCTTGGCATCAAGGATACTGAAAACTTTTGCTTTGGTTAACTGTGGAAGAACTTCCTCAATAGAGGGTAGCGGATAATAACTACGCTTCAGAGCTTTATTTAAGTCTTTGGGTCAATACATATTTATCGGTTTGACAACCATGAGGCAACTAGAAACCCATGGTGTGGGTTCACTCACTTGAGCAATAATGTTCAGATTCTCTAGACGATCAAGTTCATCTTTTAGCTGTGCTTTAAGAGCTAGAGGAACTCTCTGTGCAGGGTGTACAACTTGAGGAATGGACTTGTCAACAACAAGATGATAGTCTCCTTCCGAACGTCCAATGCCTTCAAAAACATCCTTGTACTCGGTGAGCAACTGCTCTTTGGTGAAAGGTGAATAGTTGGAAATGGCTAGAATGTTCTCACTATTCCATTGTAGTAGCTCCATATCCTGAAGTGTATTGTTACCTAGTAGAGGTGTACAGTTGTCTTTGATGATAACGAAATCAGCTTCCTGTGTCATCTGGTTTTTGGCGTTGGTGACTGATAATGCAAGTTTTCCAAGGGGCTTGATGGTTGTGCCATTATACATTCGAAGCTCGTAGTTAGTTGGGCGCAGAGGAGGGAAGTGACGCAAATGGGTTATAGGTAGAATGTTACAGGTAGCTCCTGTGTCAAGCTGAAACCTGACTTTTTGTCCTTGGATTAGCATGGTTTCCTGTGCTGTTTTGGAGTTCAAAGAGTTCACAGATCCGACTTCGTCCGAGTTAGTGACAGAGTTTGACTGGTAGTAATCATCCGAGTCGGACTTTTCACCAAAGTCTACTGCATGAACTTTCTTCTTCGTGATCTTTGTGGGCCCATGTTTAGCGTATGCTGAGCACTTATTTTCGAAATGGTTGAGTTTATGACACTTTCTGCAAGTTTGTCCGTATGCAGGGCATTTTTCTTTCTTTAGTTCATGATACTTGCCACAGAATTTGCACTGTTTATATTTTTGTTTCTCACTAGCCTGTTTTTTGTTGTCGTCAGGTTTACGGGTACTCTGTTTGCTTTTTTTTTTTTTTATTAAAAGCTGGGGTGAGAGCACTACTTCCGTCTAGCACACCGATGCCCTGTTTTGTGATTTTCGCAGCCCTACACATGTCTACACATTTGTCTAAACTAAGATCTGGTGTTCTTAAAAGTCTCTCCCTAAGATGTGTGTCAACTATACCACATACAATTCTGTCCCTTATGAGAGAATCTGCAACTTGACCAAAATTGCAAGTGGATGCTAATGTTTTCAACTCGGTGATATAAGTTTCAATTGTCTCACCTACCTCCTGTTTGCGAGTGTTGAATCTGAATCTTTCGACAGTTTCATTTTTCTTTGGTCGGCAGTACGTGTCGAATGCCTCCAGCCCATTTTTAGAGTTCTATCCTTCTCCTCTTTCTCGAATTTCAGAGTATTGTAGATTTCTCGGCCATCGCTCCCTATCAGGTACTTGAATAACTGCAGCTTAGATCCTTCTTCATCTTTCACAGTCAGAGAAACGTAGAGACTGAACTCCTCTTTCCACTTACGCCAATCTTCAGCGAGATTTTTGCTGTTAAATTTTATTTTCCCTGGTGGCGCGAGTCTTTCAGCGAACGCCATTTTGTAGAAGCACGTGGGAAACACAGCTCACAAATAGAAAGTTGATTTCAGGATCAAAAGCAGAATAATTACCACAGAAGCACTTCTGACACCATGTTTCACTTCCGGGTAGTGTATATTATAGACAGACAGCAGTGTTAACAGGTTTAACACCGTACAACGTGCAGCTTTGGTGCACACTCATAAAACACAACTGCACATGAGTTAACAAAACAACTAACTGATTTATTTTTGAAACTCTAATCTTACAAAACGAAAGTAAATTAATATTTAAGAATGAAATTAATAAAGTTTACAAAACGCAAAGCGTGTTACAGCAAGGACGTATCAATCCAACGCGTCCAGAAATTGGAAGTTTTAATAACTTCGAAATGAAATAAGATTTTTATTATATTTTAGTATGAAATGCTATAGCAACATATAAGTCATGAAATTATACCGATACTAACAACTTTGACGTTGACCTTACCGTTTTACTTACTTTTAAAACACTTTGACCTTCGCCGTAACTTTTGAACAGTTGGAGCTAGGGCTTTTAAATTTCACAGGTATATTCCTCGAGACAAGATCTTTCTTTGGGTACCAACTTTTTCTTATCTTTTGGCCTGGATTTTGACTCGCATTTGAGAAACTTTAACCTTCGCTATAAGCTGCCATACGGGGGCATCAGTGTTTCACAAACAAATCTTGTTTTCACTGTCATTACACATGTTACACACATTCCAAATCAAATGTGTTCCATTTTTAATATTGCCACACAGGGGGCATATAATGTTGCTCAAACACTTCTTGTTTTAAGTTAGCATTAGTCGTCTTCACATTAAGAACTGAGACCCTTTAACTTACTGCAGGGGAGTCTGCCCTCTGAACCGGCGATCCCCGGACTGCCCCTGGAGGCAGGACAGGGACTCCTCTAATGGGGGCTGATTTAGTCCGCTTTGAGGGAGGGACTAGCTGAGTGGGCAAGGACTGTGGCACTGGGATCTTGTCCCGGGCTTTTTAAACCAAATGCATGCACTGAAAAGAAATCAACAAGTGTTTATTAAGCATAAAAATATCAAAGTGTTTATTTAACCAAAAAATAAGAAAACAACAAGTATATTTGGCAAGTATATATAATTTATTACTAGATTTTACTATCCCAGAAAGAATTACTGACCTTCCGTTTAATTATAAGTATGAGAACCACAAAGTCAAAATTCCTCTGAACTAAGTGTGGGTCTTTAGTTTCATGATAACTTACTAGTTATTTGATGCAAAACAGTAGAAATATTCAAGGTACATTTATTGGAGAAAGAATCAATTTATTTTATGTTCCTCCATGTTGGAAGGTCGACATAGTGTTGATTTTATTTACAGCAAAATAGATTAAGTAGTAGCCTTTTTAAATCGGATTCATACTCTGCATCATTTTCATTATTTTTCAATATACAAATTAATCAAATCCTTTCTGAATAAATCAGTTCAGAGTCAAAATGAATTACATCAAAGAAATACTTCTGACTAAAATCAGCTCTTAACATTCAATGCTACAAAATTATAACAGGCTAACAATTCACCATTCCAACCAATTTGATTTTGTCCAAATAACGGGGTCCAGGTCACTATTTCCCTCTCTGGTCATAAGCTTTCTATGTGTTAAGTTTGAGCTTCTACAATTCCTCCTTTTCAGTTAATTTTACATTTCTAAAATCTCATTTAATATAAAGACATGGCATACCTCTCAATAACATCTGCATGAAAACTGTTTCCGTTTATTCGCAGAATCTAGCATATGAATTATATCAATTAATTTCATCTTTTGAAATCTTGCTATCTTAATGTATAATACTGACCACAAAAACTCATCTTTGTCCAGAAAGCCATCTTTGTCGATATCACTAAGGTCCCAGATTTTACCCAGGACCTCAATGGGAAGTTAAGAGTTGATCAGCATCTGTAAAAAGAAACCCATAATAAACTGTTAACCTTTGTCTGAAATCAAGATTTTATACAGATACATTTATTATTCCTTGTATTTTTTAGGACACATGTTTTACTTAGTCTCTTCACCGTTTAAATCTACACGTATACATGTACATCCAAAGCTGAATAACTTGTAATAAAGGAAGCAATATTCATCAAATTAATCAGAAAAAAAAACAGCCAGACTCTGTTTTCACTAGGCCGCTACAGTGTAACATAGTATTTCATATCTTGCCTTTTTATTTATTAAGTGTGATCTTGTCTCCTTATATCAAGGTATAATAGGGCACAGTCTTACTTCTGTTAAAACTGGTCCACACTTTGCTTCTTACTTAACAGTTTACCTGACAGTCAATTAATTTATTAAGCGGTCACAGGGTGTTCATTTCTTGTACATACTTCACATTCTACTTCCGATTTGATACATGCATGAACTTTATACCTGACAGTAAATCACTGACATAGTTCTGTTATTTTAGACTGGTTCAAACTTTAAAATATCTGCTGTAGACTGGATCAAACTTCATTGCAACTGTTAAAGACTGCTTCAAACTTTATTTCAGCAATTACACAGTATGGTTCAAACTTTATTTCATGATCAGCTGTTGTAGACTGGTTCCCATATTTTACTTACTTGTTTAACCTTATCACCAGACAATATATTGTTCACTGGGTTCAGACTTTTATAAACTGGTTCATACTTGGCCTTCTCAGTATCCTGTAAACAATCAAGTGATGTATACAATTTTAATAAAATAGGCAGTGCTAAAATAACATAAAAATATATATTCTATATACCAAAACATTTGCACTATTTCTTTTATCTGATATTGATAGGTAATTTTCCTATGAAGAACTAGTTAACCCCCTCCCCCCTTGTGTAAGACACAACACAATTCACAATAGCTATCATACACTTTTGTCAGAGTACGATTATTTTCAGTATGATATATTTTGATTGAAGGACATAAATCCAATGTGTTTTTTGTCTTGTTACACTAAAAACAGTTACTTTACATGCGAATTGAAACGGAGAAATTGACTAAAATGAATTGTCAATGACTGTTAATCACTCTCGTGAATCCGCGCCGGTTGTGAATTGTTTGGATGAAGTGAAAATGGCGGAGTCAATCAACCGCTTCGATTTATCGAATGATTTTAGTGTTATATAATTGACATTTGGTGTCTAATTTTACAACTAAAAGACAGCCTTTATCTATAAACAATTATTTATCCTGTAACTCTGTCATAAATCCTCGAATTTAATGTAAAGAAACTGTTCCAGTAGGTGACATACTAGATCAACGTAACATGTTTGGATGACAATGCTTGCAAAACTATGTACGGTTTGGATTAACTTGTGATACGGTTTGGATGAGATTGACCCCAATGTTCGTTGTTTTAAAATAGTACTTAAAATCATAAAATAACATGGTAAAATTACAATGTGGTACGAATACCAATAGACTGCGTTTTCCCGAGCAATGAATCGGACGTCATTTGTTTCTGATAAACTGACAAATTTCGTGAGAAAGAAATATAATTCAGACACTGAAAACTAGTAATTATGTCCCTAAGTTATGTATCCAACAAACATTTAGAACAGGCACATAGTTTCGTTTTTGATGGGGGGGGGGCAGAATTTTTCTTTAAGACAACTTACCTGAAAAATCTTTAACAAGCAAAAAAAAGGGGGATGTCAAAAATCAAGAATCCTATTTCGTAGAAAGGAGTGGGGTTTTTTTCACGGACAAATTTTAGTAAAACACTACATCGAAGGATGATTTGACTATATTGTAAACCCAAAAGTTGGAGGGGCGGGCCTTTCAATGAACATTTTCAACAGTAAAAGGTTATATTTGGGGAAAAAAAGTGAGTGGAGGGCAGTCCCTCCGATACTAAATGCTTGTAGGTAATATCTTTTCTTCAACTACACTTTATCCTCTTTCTCATGTATGCAATCACCGTGGCAAGCAGTTTGCTAAGAAGTGGGGTCCGACGATACTCGATCAATCGCATAATACAGGCCATCAGTCTGGTCTGTAGTGTAAAACTGTGTAATACATATGTATATGTTAGAAGACCCTCTCAAACAGGTATATTACCATAGGCGAATCTAGAGGGGGAAGAGGATCTGGACCCCCCCCCCCTGGATTTTCAGAGTTAATAAATGTACAATGTATATAGTAAAGTTACCAAAAATTGACATTGGAGGGTGGTACCCATTGTACAATGCATATATAAAGGAAAGCGAATCTACATGTACCCCCCCCCCCCTTTCATCCACTCTACTCATACGAAGTTTATGGAGTTGTTTTGGCTTGTCAATTTTTTAGTTAATTTGTACTAGTAATTACGTATGCATAATGCACAAAAACTTAGGTAGTGTTTCATGTAGCCATGGAGATAATTTTTCGTCGCTATCTTTGCGTTCTTGTATATTGTCAGACATGAGGGCAAGAATGACCAGGTTCATCCAGTTTAAGACAATCGACGACTTCCTTTTTGATAACTCACCATTGATGGAATACACTTTGCATATAATATTTTTTTCCTGTCTGACTTTCAAAACATCACTAATTTTGCATGTTTTTTTAATAAGTCACACACGTAGTATCATTTTCATGCGCGGATTTAGGGGGTCGGGGAGTCCGGACCCCCCCCCCCCCCCTTGGAATTTGCAGAGATATAGTATGTATATACTGAAGCAAATAAAAAATGACTTTGGACCCCCTAGAAAACGTGGACCCACCATGAAATAGGTTTTTTTTCACGTTTAAGAATGGACTTTACCTTTTTTATTTTGCATGTCAAGAAATTTACTGGGTTGGAAATTTTTTGACATGGGTGGACCCCCCCCCCCGGAAAAAATTCCTGGTTCCGCACCTGGTTTTTGAGAAAAGGGGAAGGGGGTTATCAACTTTAGAGTCAGTCAACGACTTCCTACATGTAGGAAAAAAGGGGAGAGGGCGTGTCCGAAATTTGGTACTACATATACGTGTCTGTATAAAGTTATATGATACTAGTGTTTATATTATCATAAACGGCATTTTTCTCCATTTAAGTGCATCTTAAACAACCAAAATGGTTCTACAAGATTTAGAAATTTGAAATTGTAGACTGTCCAAACCGAAACATCAAAATGTTGAATTTGCATCCAAACCAGAACATTCTCATTATCCAAACCGTAATATATTTGCTACGGGTACGTAAAATGAAACGCGTTTTTATACATTTTTTTTTGTATGGAAAACAAATTAAAATTTCAATGCCTCATTCGAAAAATGATTTTTCTTTCTTTTGTTCGATTCAGATTTTAAATATATTAAGTATAATTTTAATAATCACAAATGAACACTTACTAAAGGGGAAGAAATGTCATGTGCTTCGATAAAAAACCGCATCGATGAGAAATTTAAATGCACTCTAAAAACAAAATTAAAACACATCATTTTGATAAACAAAATGCCTATAGAATTTCGATAAAAAACGAATAAGTAATTTAATATTTACCGAAATATCAACTGGGAAATGGTACACAGAATTCGCCGTTTGTACATTTTACGCCATTTTCACTTCATCCAAACATGTCACAACCGGCGCGGATACACGACAGTGGTTAATGATTATTCTATAAACTATTACCCTTCAAGAATCACATTTTTTTATCACATTTAAAACTATTATTATTTTTTATCACATTTAAAACTGTTATCCTTCAAGAATAACATTTTCTATTATTATTTCATAAGTGCTGTGTGGCATGTTTCAAATAATGTCAAATCTCCAAATCAGAGGACTAAATCGAAAATGGACATTTTGTACCATGTATCAAACTGACAAAAATTAATGTGATAAATGGATACCACCATTTCAATTCTACCTTGTACAAGCCTTCATTACCAACCTACCTACCGTCATCCTCGCAAGCCAAGGGTCCTGAGTCAACACGTTGCCGTTGGACCCCTGGCATATTTCATTCAATATTTGTGGGCTGACTGTAGCGACATCTTTCGGAAGTTTACAAATCTTGATTGTTTTTCTTATCTCTCAACCAATCACATTAAGCCATTCTATGATAAACAACTTGTAACACGTGCATTTGAGGTGTCAACTGAATCCTTATCTAACTATTTATGAAAGCTTTAATTTGATTGGTGCTTCTCAATGAGAGAAGCAAGCCCACGATTATTGAATGAAATATGCCAGGGGTCCAACGGCAACGTGTTGACTCAGGGCCCCTGGCTTGCGAGGATGACCTACCGTATTTAAAATCACATAAATTGTAATAGATTTACTAAAAGCAAATGCACATATAAATCATAACCCTCCAAAAAGTCAATTTTCTACATCTTAAAGATGATGATTTTGGGTAGTAAGGAAAATATCAGAAAAAGTAGTAGATTTCTGCGACAAAGAAATTTAAAGAGAGAGAGAGAGAGAGAGAGAGAGAGAGAAATGACTACTGTTCTTTTCATGCTTTGCATAATAAGAACTTACAGTGATGCACCACGGCACATTAGCGACATAAGCTGTCATTAGAAGGAGGTGATACAGTGCAGGAAACTAATTTTGTTACAGAATCGATGCTGATTTGAATGCTTCCTTTGCTTGCTGATTTGAATGCTTCCTTTGCTTGCTGATTTAATGCTAGTAATCCTTATCCTGATGCTGTTTTATAATTAGGTCAATGCTACCGGAAGTAGCATCATGCTACCGGAAGTAGATAATGAATTTCAGCATTGCTGTTTAAAGCAATAAAAGTGCCTTTTACAATTATTTGATCATAATATCTCACTATGTATCAATAATGTGAATACTTTAACCAATATTCTTTCTTTCTTTTTTAATTTTTTACTGAATTAAAACTCATTGATTTTCTGATGCTAGTAGGATAATGCTGATTTTATGTAGGTCAATGCTGGTTTTATCCTTTGCTTGCTGATGCTGATCCTGGTAATGCTGTTTTTTAAATGCTGATGCTGATGCTAGCTCGATCCTGATGCTACTAATGCTTATGCTGATGCTGGTTTATGTAACAAAATTAGTTCCCTGCACTGTAGTCAGGGGAGATTCAGTACTGGTCTCCAATGGTCCCTGTACAAAGTAAGTAGAAATTACATAGCAATCTAAGATAACTGAACTATGTAAATTACGGTTCAGAGTTATGAGGTTTTTTTTATCCATCAACTTCCAAATTCAAGAGAAATACAAATATAACATTTAGATAAAATATACCAAAGTTTAGAAGGCGAAATAGGAAAACTTCACTACTAGAGGTTAATCCTAACACACCAATATAAAACTACGTATGTCATACTAGTTTATATTCTTTCTATGTCTAAAAATTAATTCAATAATATTTCTAAGATTCTTGGACTGTAACACGTTTTTTGATTATTATGTTCGTTTCTCTATGAGAATTGCAGCTTTATTTTAATAAGAAATAAGCACTGAAACAAAATAAAATATTATACAGGGATGAGGAATATTCTGTGAAATTTTCAAATATTTACATTGGCTAAAACGCTATTACCGACAAAATGACTGAATCGTTTATAATCGTGTAACGAGCATAGTCTTGCGTGAATCAAAGTTTTAATTTTGCACATTTAAGGAAGTTTAAATTTGAAAGTAGAAAAGCCAAGGTAGAGAGTCCCCAAGACGAATATAAAATATAGTTATACCCATATATTTAAGATGTATTTTACTCTTTATAATTATTATGATATTTTGAGAAAAAGATAAACTAGAGGTACAATGAGCAGTTAGCTAACAAAATGATACACTCCTCCCCGGCTACCAAGCCGCGCTTGTAAAATAGCACAGTACATTTTTGCTGAGGGAAACCCCAAAACAGAACATAGAATAAGAGATGCACAATGGCAATATGTAATAAAGATTCTGTGAAAGTCTCATTTAATTTTATTCAATAGTATAGGAGGATATATACGAGAGCTTTTCGGAAATTATTGAGACAATGTATATATTTTTTTTCTAATAAACGTCTTTCGGTGAAAATTTGCATATACGTTTGACAAATACAAAGAATTAATAAAAGCAAAAAATATTTTACAAATATTTTATTTCTTCTTTACAGTGGTATATTAATGAGTCAATGGTAGGGGTGTCCGGCGCAGTCACGAAATCAGATATTGAAAAAATGTAACCAACTATGGTTGACCCATAGTAAGAGCGAAAATAATTCAAGTTATGTATATAATTTTTCAGTTTGATTTTGACTTCATTTTGCGCAAGTTTGTTAGAATTTCGATCAGAAATACGGAGATCATAAATAAATTTAAGCGCGGCATAGAAATCTGAGAACGACGACAAAATGGATTTTGACGTCAAGGCGGCGCAGCGAGCATACCTATAATTATGTGTAGCGCTATGGAGAACTTTTTCCAAACTAAACGACCTGTCCATGCATGCATGTTTATAATTTCACAGGAACTTGTCTAATTATCCTATAAAGTAGAAATTTTGCACATTTATTTTATTCGTTCTTTACAAAATGTTGACGAATTTTCATGAATTTATCTCTGACCTTTATGGAGTAAAAGTAAATGTCTCAATAATTTCCGAACAGCCCTCGTATTTATATATACGATATTTAAAATCAGAATATTGTCAAATGGTGAAGCCGGAATCTTACAATGAAGTATATGATTTTATTTAATAGATATTATGTATATACACATGTATATTGAAAGTCTCTCTTGCAGAGAACTTTTTAGTGTATCTACGAACCATGCTTGGAGCTTTTAGCTAAAGAATGACAATATTCTGATTTTAAAGGTAAAACTCTGTGTTAAAACTTTCCTTATATTTTATCACATGCTGAATATTCAATGTACGAGTGAATAAATCCGCACATAATCACCCACGTAATCCGCACACTTATGAAAGATAACTCGTGCTCATGAAAGATAACTCGTGTTCGCCTACCTGTACATTGTACCATCTAGCGTTAAAAAGGGGGCGAAATCGCAATGTTATGAAGATTCATCCTTTAAAGTGACATAGTGTCGATCGTCCATTGGCACATAATGTCGTCGGTGACTTTATGTGCCGATGTAATAATTATGCCTAATTTTTCTTCTGCTGAACGAGTGACAATGCATGCAGTACAATTTTGCACAGAGAAGCTACAGACTGAAATGTGTGCGATGAATTTTCAATTGATTGATAAATAGTAAAAATAATTTTAACAGCAATCAGTTATTATTATTCATCTGTGATCGGAAGGTCGTGAGTTCGATAAAAAAAAAGGTAGCAACTGTTCCTTCGCAAAGCGCTTCTCTATATAAATTCTCTAACGGGACGTAAAACCAACATTCAATCAATCATCATACAAACTCAGGTTCAGGACGGCAATATGTATCACAAGGGTCTGCACACTTTGTCGCCAGCGACAGTGTGTGCAGGTATATTTTATCCCTTGGCGACAATTTGTACCGATTGGCGACAATACGTGCTACGCCGGCGACAATATATGCTGAGGCAATAATATGTGCCGATACAGGTCTCTCTTGGCTCATTCAAATGTTAGGTTATAACCAGTCTTCACACGAAATTTTACAATAATCAGAATACCGTCAATGATCCTTTTCTTGTATCTACATAGTGCGTATTTTCTTTAAACTACCTGTACATATGTGTGTCTAGAAAGGTTTGCAAGCGCTTATAATGCTAAATTGGATAGATTCAGTTCTTTATTTAGCTATCCAATATCTGAGGCAGTAAATGCATTTTCGCAAAATTGGCATTTTGAGAATAATTAGTCAGTTCCACCTATCAGTTTAGTGTGTGAGGCGAAACATCACTTGACACTGTTTATAAGCATTAACAATAACAAAGCTCGTGCCCTGTTTACAAAACAGTTTACGTTCCACCGGGTGTGTTCAATTTCTTAAACTCTGCACACATCACTGAGCACGGACTGACAATACTTGTGAGTTTGTTTTGTATTCTCACATTTCTACTCTGAATTTTCTGGATTATATCTGTAATTTTTTCATGAATATTCAACAAAATTTCTACTTTTCTAAAGTATAAAGGATAAAGAAGAAGGTACAGTTTGGGCTTTTTTATGCCCTAAAAATCTAATGTTTTTAAAAAGTTGTGAAATTGGCTTAAATATAAGTTTAGTAGATGAATGTGATAAATGATGAAAGAATATGACATGAAGGGGACCACTGTGGAAATATGACGTCAGTTATGTGTTACATTTCTATTTTAAACATGAAAAGCCACAAAAGGGTTCAATTCTAGGGTTATTTTTCTTAAGAAAATAGTGTCCACAGCCGTTGCCCACTTCAATTTTTGGATATGTTTTGTAAAATCTTTTAAAAGATCATATTTATAAAAAATCTTTGTCGGCGATGCATGTGTTCTATATTATTTAATATAAAATTTTACAGAAAATTGATAACTTCTACTTTTTAAAAAAAATACGGGAAAATGCACAAGTTCATGACGTCACAATTAGCATTTAGGGTATTATATGATTTAAATGTTCTCACTGCATGGAATTTTAATGATTCAGAAAGCATTTCATTTTCTTGCATCTCTGTCATTCTTAAGAAAAATCCAGGGCAAAATTGTATTGAAACCGTATCTTGTTCTTTACTTTGTGAAAGTGCAAAGATGTGTCAATTAAACTTGTCCTGAAATTTGTAGTTCAATAATTTCCAGATAACATAAGTTTTGTTTTTAATGTATTTCCGTGTGAAATGCTACAGCTACATACATGTATGTCATGATATAAAACATAAAATTTGAGAAAATATTTACTTCAAATCTGTGTTTATGCCCCTTTAAATAGCCTGTTTGATTCTGACTGTTTAACTCAAGAGTATAACCTGTACGAATTTGTGCAGATAGTTCATCAAGACAAGGGTTTTGAGGAAGTGTCTAAGGTACATGTATACGGATTTTCACTTTTGTTCGACAAGGCCTGTTGTACGAAAGGTCGAGGATTTAGTTTAATCTATTTAAAAAAATCATGTTTGTTTGAACTGGTGAATAAGAACTTAACTGAACTTAGAGGCATACTGATGAACTACATAGTACTATTCTAATTTTTGTTACATCTCTATATATACGAGGGTTGTTACATGTAGAAAAGTTCGCGGACAAGTTCTTTAGGAGCGCGCTATTTTCGTAAAATCAGTAGAACTCTGCAGATGAAAACTATACGTATTTTCCAATAAATATGCAAAAATTTGGTGTTTTCCGAAATCGATCTGAAGAACCCGTATTAAAGATATGATTTTGATATGTGGAAAGACCAGTCATTCACGCTGTATAGTTTTCAGATGGATTCAGAAATTCAAAAATAAAAGAGTACAATTAAATGATCGCAGTCAAACTGGTCGATCGAAATCTGTAGGGGCACCAAAAATATCGATGCTGTGAGAAACATGATATCTAAAAATGCCAGATTTACATTGATAGACATTGCTAAGACACGAAACATTTCATCGTCACAACAGTTTATAGAGTTCTGACTAATGAAATGAAACTGACAATAACTATATCAGATGGGTGCCTTATTTTCTTACAAATGCCCAAGAGAAAACACAGATTAAATGTGCCAATGGTCTATTCAAAAATAAACATTTTTACCAAAAAAGAAGATTTGATAAACTTGAGTGATGGATAACGAAACATGGGTGTACTTTTTATGGCCAAAAAGGAAGATTATGAATAAAATGTGGAATCAAAGAGAAAGCTGTCGTCCTATTATTGCAAAGTGAAGCAAGGGCTCCAAATATGTTTCATTAATTTTTCTTTGTTCAAGATGTCCGGTAAAACATGTACATACAGCCAAAGGAAGGACTATCAGTGGTAACATTTATGTTAAAATGTAACACAGGAAAGTTAAGCAGATTTCCTGCAAAGCAAGTCCAAATACTGGTCCCTAAAGTATTTTTCCTGTATTTGACAACGCTGCTGTAAATAAGCATAGAGAAATAAATAAAATTTTGAAGAAAGGAAAGTTTACAGAGCTTAGCTATCCCCCATATTCGCTAGATCTCAGACATTGTGGGATATTTTTCTTCCAAATAATCAGGAAAGCAATCAAAGGAAGACTTTACAATTTCAGGTGTACCATGGAAAGTGCTATTCATCAGTGTCCTTAGGGCATCCCTAAAGATGATTATGGTGAGGTTTTCTGGTCATGGGTACAAAAACTTTAGACGTGTAAATGTTCACAAGGAATGCTTTGAGGGATTGAAAGTATTATGAATTTGCTTTACGTGCTTTTCCTACTCGTATTTTTAGATGACCTTTTGCATTATTTATTGAACGACAGTCGTATTAACTAGTTCAGACTGAGTGTCGCATCAAGAATCAAACATGAAGAAAAAATTTAAAATCATGGAAATTTTATCCTAACAATAGGACTCTATTGTACAATGAAAACTATGCATTTTTGCCTCCTCTTTCAGACTAGCATGCACAGTTCTAAGAAATAACAACTTGTGTCTTGACTAAAACATTAATCTAACTCCACCTGTGTACATTTTTCTTATCTATCACTAAAATCTTGAGTGGTAAATAGGTATATACATGTATAAGTAACTGTCTGCTGAATTAAATAACAATGATTGATGAGTGAATGCAGGACATGAATGAAGTGCGAACGCAAGCGGGAATTTAATGGGGAGCGATAACTCAATTGTGATCAACACTTTCAAATAACGAATAGTATATGTCTCAAATGTAGGTTATTCTTACATTTTACTTATTCTTTGAATGGGCAGCGAAAGTGAAAAAAAAATGAAGCAAACTAATTTATAAATTCTGTGACACAACATCAAAAGCTAAATCGCGTTTTATTATGAATAATTCCTGAAGAAAAATAAAATAAAGATTCATACAATGTCGTGCGACCGATTTTTGTTCAGGTACATTTTCGTATATATGCATATATTTTTCTTCTTTAACATATATCTTTGCACTCATATTTTCTTGGGTAAAGAGAAGCACTTGCGTTTAACCATACAGAAATTAATGATTAGAAATAATAATTTAAAAAAAACACAATGATTTATGGAAAATTCAGGAAGTTGTTTAGCATGTTTAACAATAGTTATTTCCATTCATATGTCGACTCGATATATCCCAGTGAGATTGGAATTAAAGATACCACAGTCAGATACATCTGTTTCATATTTGGATATTTTACTATTATAGGTGCTTAGACACAGATTTGAACTTAACATTTTCTCAAATTTTCTGTATAATATCACGACTTATATATTGCAATAGCATTTCACACGAAAATATAATTAAAAACTTATTTTTTCTGGAAATTATTGGAACTACGAATTCCGGGACGCGTTTGATTAACACATCTTTGCACTTACACAAATTTTAACTTTATCCTTAATATTTAAGAAAAGAAGCGATTTTGTTATGTATTATTGAAAAATATTACATTTATAATCCAGAAAATTAAGAGTAGAAATGTTCGAAAGCAAAACAAACTCACCAGGTATTGTCAGTCGGTGCTCAGTGATGTGTGCAGTTTAACAAATTGAACACACCCGTGAAACGTAAACTGTTTTTGTAAACAGGGCACGAGCTCTGTTATTGTTAATGTTTACGATTTCACCGGGTGTGTTCAATTGTAAAACTCTGCACACAACACTGAGCACGGACTGACAATACTGTGAGTGGGTTTTGCTTTCGAACATTTCTACTCTGGATTTTCTGGGTTATATTTTTAATATTTTTCATTAATACACAACAAAATTGTCACTTTTCTTAAGTATTATGAAGAAAATTAAAATATGTGAAAGCGCAAGGATGTGTCAATCCAACGCGTCCAGAAATTCGAAGTTTTAATAACTTGGAGATGAAATAAGATTTTTATTATATTTTAGTATGAAATGCTATATCAACATATAAGTCATAAAATTATACAGAAAATTTGAGAAAATATTAACTTCAAATCTGTGTCCAAGCACCTTTAATGGTAACCTAACAACAAAGCTTCTTGATATACGTGATGACTTCAATTTTTCAATCGTCATCTTCACTTACTTATGTATCAATATGCCCTTATTACAAATATGTACCTACGTATGGGGTTTCCGACTCCCAGTTGATTCAGTATGCAAGAGCATGCTCTACGTATGGAAAATTTCTAAAACAAGACAAGCTATTGACAAACAAGTTTGAAAAAAAAGGATATCAACAGTTTCGTTGAAGTCATCATTTCGCAAGTTTTATGGTCAATACAATGACCTTGTCAGTAAATACAACCTTTCATTAAGTCAAATGCTGACTGACGTTTTTCATGCTAATTGTTAGGCCATTATTTACACATTGAATTGTGTACGGCGGGTATGACCAGTCGGCAGAGGATGCTCACTCCTCCTTGGCTTTGATGTTTTTGGAGGTCCATGTTTGCTCTTCTCCCATTTGTATTATTTAAATGGACAATGAGCTTGAATACGTTCGTTATCTCCATATTTCATGTAAACGCTTCAAATGCCGAGTTGTTGCACCTCGCATTCCCTGCTGACTTTATGAAATAAAAGAGAAAATACAGTATATTTATAGTTTAACTTTCTCAGTTAGTCTTATTTTAATAATCGATAAGTTTTAATACTCGACTAAGAAGACATTTAAAAGTTGATGTATTTTCATTTTAATCAAAAATATAACTTATGTACAGATAGTATAGTCTATTTTTTTTTTCAAATTGTTTCAAGTAATACGGGCCCAAAGTTTAAAAAAAAGAACATTTGTTACGACACACTTTTTAGGAATACTAAGCTTAAAAAAAATACTGAGTTTTTTTTTTTTTTTTTTTTTTTTTTTTTTTTGCTTTCTGACATTTCCAAGCAGAAGTACTCATTTTAGCCGTTTGATCTTAGTGCCACAGTTTTAATTTAAAGTTGCCAAGACTTAAAATTCTTTAAAAGGTTCTTCTTTCTGTAGTTTATGATTTCAAAAGTAGGATAGGTAGGATAAGTAGGGTAGGATTTCCCCTCTTTTATCAATGCATTAATCATATCGAAAATATTTTGGCTAATTAAAAGTTTTTACAAAAGTCAACTGATTTTTTAAAATGGAAATGTGAGTGTTTTCTACTCCAGAATTGTCAAATTCAGTAAGAAATCTTAAATCATTGAGTCTCAAGAATTTTAGCTCACAGTAAATTGTAAAATTAGCCACTCAAAAATCGGGGGGGGGGGGACGAAAAACTAACAATACATTGCAAGCCGAAGCATAAGCATGTCCCCTCGACCCAAGAGGTGTTATATTGAATTTGAAAGCAGATAGCAAATACTTATCCAAATTTTTTGCAAAATTTCAAATTTTAGGAATAAATGACTTATTTTTAGTTCCATGGCATCTGCAACTAATTTGGATATTTAAACACCAGAAACTTAAAGAGACTAACATATCAATTATATGTAAATGTAGTTTGAAATACAATTGCAGAAAAAATCCATTGAAAGTAATATTCCTTTTTGTTTCCATGGACACAGTTAAAAATTTGTCCAAACGATTACATTGTACCAATTCTTTTTTCCAGAAACCAGTTTGACCAGATGAAAAGAATAAGATTTTAATGAATTAAAAGAATGGTTGGACAATTACTGAGAAAAATGAGATTTAAAATTTCAATTTTTCATACTTTGTATGTTTCAATGGAACTGGTCGCCATTTGAAGAAGGGACATTTGTAACAATGTGTCGCCCCCTCCCCCTCATACATAAGTACCACCATGACATTTATTGGGGGATTGGCTCGGGGGGTTATCGCAATCTATAACTACAACGCAGAGTAGGATTTCCCCCCGGAAAATTGAATCTGATGTGGGATTTCCGTGTGTGTGTGTGTGTGGGGGGGGGGGATCCTACTCTATCTAGTCAATTTTCCGTGGGGGAAATCCTACTCTAGAGCCTATTTTCCGAGGGGAAATTCCACTCTAGAGGCAGTTTTCCGGGGGAAATGATTTTAGGGAGGAAAGCCTACTCTACAAGACCTTACTACCTTACTACATGTTTACACGTATTATATACGTTATTCTTTTTTTTTGGGGGGGGGGGGTCATTGAAAATACACAATGCCTTAATTATTGTTAGTTTAAAAAAAACAGGACTTTTAACTAAAAATCTAAATAAAGGAAACGTTTTTGATGTTCCAAGTCATATTTTGACACTCTTGGTAATTTTTTTCGTAACATTTTTTGTGCTTTTTAAGGAGGTTACGTGGAGGATATATCCATTATCGGGCCGGTATTGGCGGTACCTACACAGGATGGAGGTTAAAAAACAAAGGACTCCGGATTGGTATTTATGAATACTCTTATCGTGTCGGAGGCAGGATGTATACGAGAACTTTTCCAGATGCCCCTGATCTTCCCGTTGAGTTTAGCGCAATGCGGCTGATGCCTGCTCGCCACTTGAGGATGATAAAAGCCGGGAGAGAATTAGGATTAAGATTCGTACATTTTGTTGAGGAATTTGGGCGCATTCCTGAACGCACCCGCCTTTATCTGAGAAACACCCACCTGTCAATCCCCGATCTAGGGACTTCAAGAACCCCCTATAAACTCAGACCAGCAGAGAGAAGAAATCCTTCTGACCTACAAAGGTATGAATTTTATTATTAAAAATTTGTCATGTTGCTTTTTTTTTTTTTTTTTTTAAAAAAATAGACATTCCAAGTGATAATGCAATTTATAATAGATTTTTTTTCTACGCCAAGTATTGATTTAAGAGGTTTTGATTGCACTTTAATGCTAGCAGAATTTATAATCATTAGTATTAATATATGTTTAATAGCATTAATGAGGAGATGAGTTGTTGACTTTAAATCTCTTTCATAATGGATTGAAAAGTAGATGAGCATATGGAAACATAAAAAGATACGTTCAAACGGATGAAAGTGTCATGTGTAATTAATAATTGTAAAACATTATAAATTGAATTGAATTCCGGACTTTTCATCTCTCTAAAACATGTTTGGACATATTCAAACATTAGGAAGATAAATCAATGGATGTTTTTTGTTTGTTTTTTTTAAATACATTTAGGTCGTTATCAGAAAGGTTTACAAACTACAACGGCTCTGGTCCAAATACAGAACGTTTTACTGTCGTCACTCTTAGAGATGGAATACCTTTATATTTCCAGAGGTTTATCATTTTGTATTTATTCTATTTTCATTAAAAAAAATCAAAAATCAACAAAACTGATTTTATTGAAAGATAAAATAATTAACTTTTTTTCATTGATATTGTATCGGCCCAATTCATGTTTCATGATATTTCACTCATTTTTGATTTCTGTTTTTAAGGACAAAGGATACAAAACAATATTAAAGGAAGTTGTAAGAAAGATTGTATAAGTTTTATTAGTCGCCAGCGTGGCGAAGTGGATAGAGCGTTTGCTCTAGAGTCGCGGTGTAAGGAGTTGATCCTTACTTTGCAGGTTCGAATCCCACTGTGGGACCAGGAGACCGGTCCTTCGGATAAGACTGTAAAAACCGAGGTCCCGTGTCGTAGTAGTTGTTGGCACAAAAAGATCCCTCACTGCTCAATGGCCCTGAGTGCCGAATATAGCCCCTCCACCGGCAAGTGGTGGCGTCTCCATATGAGTGAAAAATCGAGAGGGACTTTAAACAACAAACAGACAAAATAAATAAGTTTTATTAATACTAAAACACATACTTATCATCAAGTTTCCCTATCAAACCAGCCTCATTTGTTCATACTCCCCAAATCTTACATTGATATCGACACTGAATACAAAACATGAAAATACAAATTCCGCAAATATAAATATTAATTTACTACAATCTTATCGTAAACAAATTGAAGTTTATGAAAAAAAAATATAGAAACTAATATACCCCCCTCCATTGTCCTAAGAGTTTGGGTATCTCTTGATCTCTTGACCTTAAAACCTCTTTTTAAGCGACAAGTGGTAGTGTATTAAGGGAAAAAAGTCAATCTAACTGGTAATAGCATCGTAAACAGACTTCTTCGGTCTTATTTTATTGCTTCTGAAATTTCTTACTTCCATACTTTAAAATTTAAATGTCATTTGTCCTATGTGTAGTAAACATGAAACACTTCGGATGATTTTTTTTTGCGGTTGGAAAGATAATGACAGATTATGGTTCCTCTTTGTAAAGTGTACATAAATAAGCATGTCAGGCCTCTACTTCCTAGTATTTACATGCTCATAGATTTTATATATAATTAAACTTCAAAAAGGGCTAAGAAACAATTTGTCTGTAATTAAGTATACTCTGATTATACATATAATTTTTCAAGGTGTATGCATGGAAGAAATCCTTTTACGATGACATTTCTATCAGTATTTCATTATAAAATCACATTAAATAATGCTTAAATTGGAATATTAATAGAGTAATAAAAAATATTGAAATACAGAATCGCTATATTATATAAAAAGGCATCATATTGTAAATCAACTTGCCATGCATTATTTCTCTGATGCAGTAGCCTATTTTTTTTATCACTGAATATTTCTTCCTTATTCTTTTTAAAACAGCTTTCCTTAATTAAATTTCAAATAGTAAGAACAGGTTTTTCTAGATCACCTGTAAGAGAGATTACCATGATTGAAACATACCGTGACGTAGAGATAAATAATTCATTTTTAAGTACTTAGCATTATTTTATACGATTTTATACAGACATAAATATACACAATAAAATGTCTTTCTTTGTAATTTGTGATGAATGGTTGCAACCATTGCAGAAAAAAAATCCAAGACCAGCTTACTCGAGTCACTTATTTTTTTTCCCGCAATACCTGCAGCCGTTGATTAAAGCAAAATAAACAAGAAAGAATTTCATGGTTGAAATGAAATCTGAATGTGATAGAAAACAATACAGCATAGAAAAAAAAATTGTTTCAAAGCAGAATCGTTAAATTTCATGAATCTATATAAATATATTCATACACTTATTCTTTTTAAATAACATGGTGGATATCTACAATGTACAGTATGTCAATTGTTTGAGAAGGAAATCGTATACAATATTTAAATCTGAAATTATTACATTATCGGGAAATGAATGACAATTTTCCTCCTTATTGACGTAAGAGTTACATTAAGAACTAAGAAGTCATATACCCAATACACATTAATCCATTTGGAGATATCAATCTGACTATATAAAAAATTCAAGAAGAAGCATAAGTTACATGCTCTCTCACCTGGTAAAAATAATGCAGTGTAGAAATGAGAAGAATATAGGTTTACAGGTAAAGAACACTGAATGTCAGGCTTGGGCCGAATTACATTGTAAAGTAATGCATTACATTACCATTACTTTGGCAAAGTAATGCATTACCTTTACTTTTGGAGGTTTTCAAAAATAAAAATGCAAAACTTTGCAACTATTTTCATTAATATGCATGCCACCCCTTCAAAACTAACCATGATGAATTATAATTCAAATTTAATTTCAAGACTTGGATTTATTACACAGTAAATAATATACAAGTCTATTTACTATTCATAGGAAGATCGAACTTTTCAATTGCCAGTAAGATAAAAAAACATGTACATCTAGAATATGCACGTTTTGTGTAACTATTGATGTAATAAAGCAATTTAGCTTTTGGGGCAATTTACTTCCTCCCCAAAACTAAAACTAATCTTGATAAGACATATAAAGAATATTTGGATAACACTGACAAACTTGTAAAGAGGCTGGACAGAATGTATAATTTGCTCTCCTAAAAGTAGAATGCCTGTCTTCTATTCCTTTTATTGCAATGGATTTGTCATGGTTACAAGCTAGACCAGGTCAATTAATGTTTCATAACCACAGTCAGAAGAAAGGGGCTGGGTTTTGGAGTTTTTCTTAAAACAATGCATTGTTTTAATTGTTACATAACCTTAGAGGCATTGTGTATTTAACTTTTGATAACACTCTATTCAAGAGGTGACAATTATCTGTTTACATTGTACATTAATTAGTGTGCCTCATACCGGTATTATTTTTAAAGGATGTTAAAAAAACAACTCTTTAAAATATTCTTTGAAATTAAATCTGAATTAAAATAAGTATGAGAATTTAAATGTGTGGAAATTGTACTTTCAGCAGAATAAAAAAAATGTATTTGAATAGATACAGAGAGTTTATTTAGATAGGTTAACCTTTTTTATTCATTTCTATTATTTAAGAAAAAAAATTTAATTCCAATTATTTCCATGTCCATTTTCATTTTTTTAAAATAGGTATATTCAAAATAATGCTTTGTGATGCTATGTTATGACAGCATTAATCTGGATTTGAGAAAGTATTTCATTACATTACCATTACATGTAATGCAAATCTTTTTGCATTAATATTACTAGCATTACTTCGAGTTGAAGTAACGCATTGCAATGCTTTACCATTACATTTAGCATTACCTCAAGCCTGCTGAACATCATGTCTGTTGAGCACAATTTATTTTTTTTTTTTAAAAGTGTCATAATGCCTCTAACCAACACATTATAAAATTATTTACAGCTACAAAGAAGTCTTCCGAAAAACTGGAATAAGCAATGAGGCATACAATTATATATTTGACAACAGTTTGTTAAAATTTGGTCTTGGTGATGATGAACAAAGCATTATACGATTTCCCAGAACACGAACAGGATTCGAAGAGAACACGATTTCCACTGAATTACCAAGGGTCGTCTCTGTCCCTACAGGAATGGGTTCATATCCCACAGGATCTCTGAGGCAATACCTATCACGGAACCCCAGAAGGTATCTATAAAGTTAAAGTTTTGTAGAAAATGGATTGTTCATGCATAGAAAAAAAAATGAAAAAAAAACCCGCTTTATTTCCAACGAAGCTGGTTGGATAATCTACATTTTATGAAATATTGGTATTCGTTCTAAGTAATGTAGCTGATTTGCATAATAAACAGAAGTCCATGACAAGCTAAGATTTGACTAGTATACGATGTTTAAGGCCATATTTGATATGTTCCATTCAAATTTAGTGTTAGTGGGAAAGATAATCAAATCACCGAAGAGCCTACAGAATTTACCATACTTAATGTAAAAAAAAATAATCCCAAACAGATGCAATTTCAACAGCTTGATAAAACTTCATGTTTCAAACTATAAAAAGAAAGTGACATTGTCACTCTATAGGTTGGATTTGCTGTTCTATTTGACAAAAAAGTAAAACAACATTTGAATGAAACTCTTTACCTACATGAGAAAAAGAATTTTTTTTAAACTGAAATAAGCTATTTGTTATATGTAACATACTAATGAAAATATTGATTAGTTTAACCAGAGGATTTAAATAAAATAAATTTCAAACAAGACAGCTAAATACTCTTTTCTTTCGTTTATGCTGATCTTCAGTTCATTAATTGTTCAACACATTCTTGTTACAGGCACAGGTATCATCCAAACAGTCAACTTATTAAAGTATCAAGACTAAAATTTCGAATTTTAATGCTGAATTTTCAGAAGCTATTTTCCAGAATTGCTTCCCGGAAGATAAAAAGTTTTGAGTTGGGACATTTTTTTTTCGGTCGGGAGAGGGCTACCAAACATTTTTTTCAGCTCACTTGAGCCAAAGACTCAAGTCAGCTTTTCTGAGCAAAATTTATCATTTGTGTGTCGTCGTCGTTCTTGTTGTGAACTTTTCACAATTTCATCTTCTTCTCCAGAACTACTGGGCCAATTTCAACTAAACTTGGCACAAAGTGTCCTTGGGTGAAGGGGATTCAATTTTGTTCAAATGAAGTGCCTTGCCTTCTTCCAAGGGGAGATAATTATCGAATTTGTGAAAAATTAATGGCATCATTTAAAAATCTTCTCAAGAACCACTGTGCTTGAAAATATGAAACTTATGTGGAATAATTGTGAGGTAGTGTAGATTCAAGTTTGTTCACTTCATGACCCCCAGGGGTAGGGTGGGGCCACAATGGGTGATCAATGTTTTACATAGGAATACATAGGACAAATCTTTCAAAATCTTCTTCTCAAGAACAGCAAAGCCGTTATTGGTCATATTTATATGCAAGCATCCTCAGGTAGTGTTGATTCAAATTTGTTCAAATCATGACCCCCGGGGGTAAGATGCACCCACAATGGGCGATCAAAGTTTTACATAGAAACACAGGGAAAAAAATCTTTAAAAATCTTCTCTTAAGAACAGCAAAGCCATGATTGGTCATATCTATATGAAAGCATCCACAAGTAGTGTAGATTCAATTTTGTTCAAATCATGACCCCCGGGGTAGCGTGGGGCCACAATCGGTGATCAATGTTTTACATAGGAATACATAGGAAAAATCTTTTAAAATCTTCTCAAGAACACCAAAGCTATGACTGGTCATATTTATTTGCAAGCATCCTCAGGTAGTGTAGATTCATGTTTGTTCAAATCTTGACCCCGGGAGGTAGCGTGGAGCCACGATTGGGCGATCAAAGTATTACATAGGAACACATCGCAAAAAACCTTTAAAAATCTTCTTCTCAAGAACAGCAAAGCTATGATTGGTCATATCTATATGCAAGCATCCTCAGGGTAGTGTAGATTCAAGTTTGTTCAAATCATGACCCCTGGGGGTAGGGTGGGGCCACGATTGGGGGATCAAAGTTTTACATAGGAATACATAGGAAAAATCAGCAACAGCCATTTTATGTCATATTTATTCAAAAGCATCCTTAGTAAATGTACATTCAAGTAAGTTCAAATCATACCCCCCTTTTATATTTAAACTTTTCAAGACTGAACTGATTTCTGCTTTTCCCTAGCCAAAGTGCTCAGGTGAGCAATGTGGCCCCTTGGCCTCTTGTTTAAGATGGCCTGAGTAAACATGGTAGAAAATAAAGTTCCTTACACTTTACCATGTCTGTATCAACACTAGTTTTCGCAATCAGGTAATGATAATCAACTTTAATCAGTTACAGCTTGCCGTGTAATCATGAGTAATCAGTAATAATTCGTTTTTCTGAATAGAAATGATTTAATCAACTTCTCTAAAAACATGAAAAAGATACAAGTAATCATTAATACTTTCTGATTACAATGGTATGAAATATATGCATAAAACTGCATTCATTAATTATTTTCAATGAATGTGGTAATAGCCATATCTTCTATATAAAAATGTATGTTTGTGAATCTGAAATAGATATAGCACTAAAATGCCAAATGTAAGTCTTTATCAACTCAGTTACAAATTTATGTGAGTTACAGATGAGTAATACCGGGCTTAACTAAGTTGATATATTCTGAAGCTATTATATTTTGTTTTAAGCCATATAATGGGATTTTTATTTAGATGTATCTTTAAGGTGTTTATTACCATAAATCAAACATTGTTTAATTTACTAAAATATATATGAATAAGCAGCTAATAAAACACATATGTGTTCTGGGTCAGCTTGGTAGTAACAATGGGGCACTATCAATGCTTGACCAGTCAAGCAACGTGTTAATTCTTTTAAAACCATCTAACAGTTAGTATTTCAAAATGTTCATCACAAAAGGTTGTCACACAATCAATCACCTATATAAAAGTTCTCGGATTCCTTATATTTCTTATTTTTTATGGTCTAAATCGATCGATAAATAAGTGGTTTTTATTACATTTTCAACAGCAAAATACTGTATTTTATTTATTGAATGAAAGTGATATTTTGTCACAATGTGAAAGGATATCAAAGTGATATTCTATCACAGTGTGACAGAATATCAGAAAAACGGCAAAACTCTCCTGAATTCTCCCTGACCTGTTATAAAATAGAGTGAATAAACCTTTTTGCAGAGACTGTAACTGCAAAAGTTTCTTCAAATATGCTATTGAAATCCATGTATTACAATGTTTTCAATCTCTACTATGCTAAACTATGATGTCAGCCTATGACTCTGTGTTACAAAAAGACAGAGGCAAAGGGAAAAATCAAACAAAATGTAATAAACAGAACATTCAATATGTTGTAGTTGAGTATGATTGTTTTCACTTTTTAAACGATTTTAGTTATCGCTCTGCCAATTTAACGAATAATTGTTCTCTTTTTTTCTCCATAAAATCAATTTTATAAAGACTGCAAATGTATCCACATAAATATTGGAAAAATCTTAACAGACTTAAATTGTGTTAAATATCATATTTTCTCCCTTATTTGTACATCAACGTTGTGAAAAGTCTATAATATAATTGTTTTTACATTTAAATTTCATGGATCAATAAAGTGCATGAAAATTAAAAGATGATTTTTAGATGTTATGCTGATTATGTACAACAAATTCTGCTTATGTTTTATCATGCATATTATATTATAAATTATTCTTTGAATTGTGGTATATTAATATTAATTCTTTTGAGCTTATAGTGCATACAAAGGTTCCTAAACAGTAAGTAGATATTACAGACTCAATTTAAAAAGCAATAGCAATAGCTTAACACATATCAAAATTACGGAGATTTAAAGGAATGGATCTTGTTTATACGAGAAAAACCCTGTTAATTAATTTTTAATTAAATAAAGGATTATCATACTATAGTGAGAAATAATCATGTCATTACGAGAAAAGATCGTTGATATAAGAAAAAATATTTACATTTCCACTTTCGAATGTCTTTGTCCGCCATGAAACTACAAATTAGGATCTTCATAAAGCCATTTGCTCATCACGCGACAAAACTGCCTTCTCGTTAACGCCTTCAGGGTGAACAAACTGATTGATTACATCGTAAAACCAAAACACTAGATAGTTGTTGCTTAGATAACAAGAAAAAAGTTCCTTTTTATTCCACGGAAAGATTAAATAAGAAAATGTCTCCTTATTACGAAAAATATATCCCGTAATAAGGAGGCAGAATCTTTTTATAAAGAGAAAAACTCTACTTATGTCTAGTTTAAATTTTTCGACTAAATAACAGCAAAAACATTATTAAACAACTAAAATACATATATCTACAAATAGATAAAAACATAATACTATATCATAACGGGATCTTTTCTCGCTTTTACGCAATCTTCCGTTGTTTTAAAGAGATCTTTTCTCATTACATAGTGATTTTTTCTTTATTGCGAGGTCCTATCTTGTTATAATGAGAACTTGCACATGAGAAGAAGAAAACACTTGCCGTGGCCTTCAATTCGACATTCAGATATATTAGCGACGTTTTATCAATTAACAATAGTTATTTCCATTCATATTTTACCTTAATATACTGAAATAAAACACATCACAGAGTCTGCCACATCTGTTTCATTATTTATTGACTATAAACGATAAAGGCCAACTAACAACTAAATTATATGACAAACAAGATGACTTCAGCTTTTGCATCGTCAACTTTCCTTACTTATTTAATAACATTTCGCTATCACATGCATATGATGTTCATGTCTCCAACTTATTCGCTCCTCAAGAGCATGCTCTGAGTACGATCAATTTTTAAACCGAGGCAGACTACTTACACAAAAGTTGATGTTACAGGGATTTCAACAACCTCATTTAAAGTCAGCATTTCAAAAATTCTATGGTTGTTTGTTTGTTTGTTTGTTGTTTAACGTCCCTCTCGAGAATTTTCCATCCATTTTGAGAGGCTGCCACTTGCCGGTGGAGAGCTGTAAATTTTTACCTATGCTCGGCACTCAGGGGCATTGAGCAGTAAGGGATCTTTTTCGTGCCAGCACCTACTGCGACACGGGACCTCGGTTTATGCGGTCTCATCCGAAGTACCGGTCTCCACGTCCCACAGTGGGATTCGAACCCGCGACGT